ACCCTTAGCAGGATGCAGCGCACCCTTCATGCGACTCGCCGAATATCTCACGGCGCTTCGCGCTTGGTGATGTGAGAGCCTGGTCCGGTGAGAACCCGGCGTGCTCCGTCCCGGCTTTGTAGGGATGCGAGGTCAATGATCTAACGACTACGGCATGCACGACTATGAGTACACCCACTCCCCCGTCATCGCTCCTAACAGCATGCGCTTGGGGAGGCGGTTGTCCTCCATGCGCATAACGAAGCCCGCGAAACACAGTCTCCGTTTGCGCACGGTGGCCTCGATGGTTTCCTCGCAGCCTGCCTGGATGAGGGCCTGGGCATAGGACAGGGGGCGGTCTGAGCGTTTCCGCTTGCTCCAGCCGATGCACCGTGTAAGGAACTGGCGGTGGGTCCCATTGAGCTTCGTGTAGTGCTCCGCTGTTAGGCTCCACGAGGCGCATCCACATGGGAGAGTCTCCACCACTTCAGCCTTGAGAAGCCGGATCTTGATCTGGCGGTCGACCCGTCGCCTGTCGTACATCGAAGCACTGTTCCGGCGGTGGCACTTCCACGCTCGGCAGCTGCGGCTCGTGATCTCCCGGTCGGCCTTCCCGTCCGCGGAGATGGTACGTCCGAGGTACACAAACCGATCTGTCTGCTTGTACGTCTGGCCAGCGGCGCTGACCGTGAACGGGCGTTCCTCGATCCCTTTCGGCAGCATGCACATGATCTCCGTCTTTGGCTCCGATACCATCAGTCCGAACAGGCCGGCCACGCGCACGATGACCGACATCATCTTCTCGAGACTCTCCGGCGAGCGCGAGACGATGGCCGCGTCGTCAGCGTAGAGCATGGCCCACAAGGCCTCCGCGTCCGTCACCACCGTCGTCTTCTTCCCCGCCGACCTGCCCTTCTTGCCCGTGTACTCCACTTGTGTCCCGATCTTGACCATGTCCGCCGTCACCTTGGGGTACTTGTCGAACCCGGCCACGGCGACCATGAGCATCGAGGCAAAAAANAGCATCTTCGGGGGCACGCCGAAGCGTCGGAGCACGTCCCACAGTAGGTCTCGGTCCACCGAATCGTATGCCTTGGTGAGGTCGACGAAGCACGCGAACACCGCAGTACTCTTCTTCCTCGCGAGTTCATGGAGCCGCTGGATGGCGAACAGCATGTCGAGCGTCGACCGGTGTGGGCGGAAACCGCTCTGCTCCTCCGGGAGGATGCCCTCTCGCTCGCAGTAGTGGCTCAGTCGTGTAGCGACGACCTTAAGCAGCACCTTGCCGGCGTGGGCGACGAGAGAGATGCCCCGGTAGTTGCCGCACTCCATCTGTAGACGTGGGACTGCAGCAGCAGCTACTCTCGAATAAATTGAACCTCAAGAAGCCTTTTGTTTGCGGCCTACGCCACTTATTTATCGGGTGAGACTGTTTTGGTGATGTATTAACTTCACGGGAGGTAGACGACCGTCCTTCACACGGACGAAAGAGGGAGTGCTCAAAGAGCGGCTCCCACAGCAAGGAGGGGCCCCGTGAATCATCGC